ATATATATATATATATATATATATATATATATATATATATATATATATATATATATACTTGGTATGCACGGCGTACGATGTTTGCTATTGTAGGAGCATCTATACACCTTCCATGCAATGGTTTTAGGGTTGTAATCTGAAATCATTTGGTGGATGTGCACCATTATTGAGATCTTATTGGTTGTCTTTCGTTGTAGCATTTCATGTTTTAGTTCTTACATATTTAGTTCACGTAACGAATCAGTCGCTTGTCCTCGCGACTGGGGGTTCACCCCTTCTACTGTTAATTGCACAGTACTGTGCGTAATGCTGTCTGTAGACTGTTAAATAAACCTACCACGTTGGGATGCGCTTGATTCACATAGATGACACGGCCATTTTGGTTTTTCCGAGATCTTCGTAGTCGCGTTTGTCACAAGCCCAATTCTGTAGGCTCGGATTTGAATGAAAAAAACGCTACAAACTTACTTGGACGTCTGTTATCCTGCGCGATTTGGGGAATTCTCGGGAATTTTGTCTATTGTAGTTGTGTGGAAAAAGGTACCTCATTCTATCAACAATTACGAGTGCAGTGTGATCCGTGATAATTTGCGTTATGTTTATGAACATTTATCCATGTATTTATGATGTTGCTTTCCTGTTGCAACAACTAAAACTGCAGCACGACAAAGTATGAACATCGGTTGTGGAAACTGAAACAAATTGGGTTCTGATGGTGAATGTTACCACGCGATTTTTATTAATTTTGTGATTCCGAAAGTGTTTAGCCACATTGTTTTACACTTCTATTTCGAGAAACACTGTCATTCAGATTCGAACAATTATTTTGTTCTTTTGGGACTTGGAAAGAAAATTTGTTTCCTTTTCGTTTGCTTAACCATTTTTACTCCGTCCACTATTTTGCATTTTTGTGCTTTTTTGACACTTTGTGAGTCGGTCAGCATTCTTTCTGTTTACTAAAGATAATCAAATCTTGTCGAGACCTTCTAAAAGGGAACATAGCAGTGCTGCACGATTCTTGACCTTCACGACTCACAGAGGTGAAGCACCTATTTGGATTAACAGTTTTCTAGTCAAGCTGTCTTACTACTATTGCGAGAAAATTACTGGTTGAAGTCGATATCTTTGGTATATCATTTTACACCGGACAGTAACACTAGTTGACTCGTTTGAGTTGGTGTCCAAGCTAGACAAAAAAGACAAACACCAACTCTATTCGCACCAGAGATTTACACTGACTAACGGCCGATGGGATTTGCACTGCATTCGTTTTAAATATATTTTTCATCTCTGTTTGCTCTGTTCAAATTATAAACCCCATATCATAAAATTATTCCACAGCAGTAACAAAGCTTTGTGCTTTTTAATTTCACATATCCTTAACAAATGTATCCAAAGCCCTTCAGGCACACTCAAAATGCGTCCCACGTGCTATTGAGCCCGCAGTAAAAATCGTTCGATTCGCCTTTTGTCACTTCTAATCGGTATACAGGACCACGTTTTTCGGAACCGTGAAACCTTAAGCTTTAGGGCTGTGTTTGAGTTTTAAATCCATGTGCTACTCCTTTCGATTGATTGCTTCGTTTTCCCTGAGGAGGTAGTCCAAGTTATTTACTCTATTCCCTTTTATTTCTGACAAATTATCCGATGGAGGCAGGTGGTTTTCGCGCACATAGAGGCTATTTGGAATGATTTTTGGCATGCACTTCTATCGGACGTTCTCGCTTGATCAGGGGCGGGGGTGGGAGTCAGTGAGCTGTAAATCCAATATGATGAGCATCAATCATTGTTAGAGAAAGACATTACGATTTTGTAAAGGATGTGTTGTCGGTGGTGGAAGATGGTGAATTCCAATGTAGGTTACCGTCCCAGTTGTAATACATTTTAAGAAAAGACGTTTTGAAGTACGGAATCATTTTCTATTTTGGTGCAAGAAGTCTTTGAAGATATATGTAAAGTAACTGTTTAAATTTCTCTTTCTCAGGTCTGCCCATAGTATACTATTCTATCAGATCATCCCCCTAGTTGTACTCCCAACACAAACGTGAGCCGTACAAGAACGCTCAACACAACAATACACTTATGTATCGATAGTGAAGGGTGTTTTTAGTAATGCATGGTTTCAGGTCCAGGTTTTCCAACCATTAACCATACAGTTTCGTGATTTGGCTTTGTTTGTTGGTTTTTCGAATGCCTATATAGATAAAGTGTAGAAGGAAGGTTGAAATGTTTAAGGCAGTGTCGGTGTGAACTTGAGGAATTCAAGTAAACTAAGGTAGCAAAGACAACAAGTGGATGCGCGAGCGCCACTGTTAACGACAATCGACTATATTAATCAGTGTCTCTAACGATTGATTACAATCATCCCGATGTTCACAGCCAGAAAGCCTAACCTGACCTATGTGGCCGAGTCTCTTGTTCAGCACTTCCTCACCCTCATGTTAGGTCTTGGTTTGGTCATCTTTTTCGCATCCGCTACCTGTCTCGAAATAAATCAAGTAATCCATAGCCCGCGTTCATGATACTTGCTAGTTGGCGGTAGATTCTTTATACTGGTATCTCCGACACCCCCAAAATAGTCATATTCTAAATAGCTGCAGTATTTCGGCTTATACCTTT